TGCTTCTAGTAGCAAGGTTATTTGTCACCATTGTGGTGCAGCTGGTCATGTCCAAGCACGGTGCTTCAATCTTCATCCTAAGTTAAAGTAACACTTTGCAAATGCACCCCCTTCAGGCTCTCCACATACTACTGTTATTGCAGACACCTCTAGTAGTCCTCAGCTGACTCATCCTATTGATCTTCATCAGCTTCAATATCAGATTGGTCGCCTTCAAGAGCAACTTGGTTCATTCACTACCATGTCTCCAAGTGTTCCTTCCACTGCTACACTCGCTACAGGTACTCCTACAACCTTTCATGTTCGCACTGCACCTACTTAGGTATTGGATTTTGGGGCCAATGATCATATGACCGGTGATTTTTCTTGTTTATCCTCTCATGTCTCTACTACTGCTCAGATTGTATGTCTTGCTGATGAGTCTATTTCACATGTCTAACATAAGGGTGATGTGTTTTTGTCGTCTGATATTACACTTACTTCTTTCTTACATGTGCCCCGTTTTGCTTATAATCTGCTATTTTTGAGTTGTCTTGCTAAAAACCTTCATTGTATTGTTATTTTCTTACCTATTCATTGCTTATTACAGGACCTGACTTTGAAGAAGATTTTTGGCAGGGGGTTTGGTGCGACGAGCTATATTACTTCGAGGACCCACCACCTTCTCATTCTACCACTTCTGGTTTGCAAGCAGTTGTGTTACCTGAGTCGTCTTCCTATGTGTTTTCTTTTCAAACTTTAGCCTTGTGGCATGCTCGTTTAGGACATGCAAACTTTAATTATTTATGTTTACTTTTTCCGTCACTTAATAAAGCTTGCAAGGATCATCAGTTTCATTGTGTTATTTGTGAACTGTCTAAACATACTTGTACTTCTTATATTCCTCGTATGTATCGTGCCTCCTATATGTTTGACCTTATTCACTCTGATATCTGGGGTCCTTCTTATCTTTTGGTTTTTTCTGGGCATTGCTATTATGTAACTTTCATAGATGACCATTCTAGGTGTACTTGGGTTTATTTGCGTCAAAAGAAATCTAATGTGCTTTCACTTTTTATTCAATTTCTTCATGTGGTCAAAACCCAATTCCACACCGTTGTACGCAATGTTCATTCTGATAATGGGGGAGAGTACATCTTTGATGCATTTTACTCCCAACTTAATCAGCAAGTAATTTTGCTGTAACTCACTTGTACTTACACCCCTGAACAAAATGGGATTGCTGAACGTAAAAACCGTCATATTATGTCTGTTGTCCGGTGTCTTCTTTGTGGGATGAATGTCCCTAAGTCCTACTGGCCTATGGCTATGCTTACTGCTGCTTACCTCATTAATCGGACACCTAGTCGGATTCTTCACGGGTTGGCCTCTTTTTAATTACTTCGACCAGATACTGTGTTATTTCCTCTTGTGCGTCGTGTGTTTGGTTGTACTTGTTTTGTTCAGGATCGTAATCCAACTCGGACCAAGTTAATAACAAGTCTCTTAAATGCATCTTCTTGGGCTATTCCGCTCTCTCTAAAGGCTATAGTTGCTATGATTCGTTGTCTCACCATTTTTATCATTCTATGGATGTCACATTTTGCAAAGATATGCCATTTTTTGGTTCTAACCCTGTGTTTCAGGATTCCACCTCGCGTGCACCGCCTCCTACTATGTCACCAAGTGCTCGCCTTGTTCCTATCATTGATTCCTTTGCTTCTTCCTCATCGTCTGTATCTACACCTGCTAGTTCTCCGCCATTACAAACATACTCTCGTCGCCCTCATGCTTCGTCCCCTCTAACATCTTCTTCGCCCTCAGGCCAAGGTACACCCTCTACTATTCCCTCCCCAGCTCATTCCCGGTATCCAACCCGTGAACACCGTCCCCCTAATCGGTTTGGTTGGTTTAGTAGTACTAATCACCCTATTTCCCAGTTTTTATGTTATGATACCTTTTTAGCTTCTCATCGGTCTTTTCTTGGCCAACTTGAGTTGGTCTTTATCCCACGGTCTGTGTCTGAGGCTCTCTAGAATCCCCAATGGGTTGCCGCTCTGCAAACTGAAATGGCTGCTTTGGAGCATAATCACATTGGGATCTTGTCTTTTCACCTTTTGGTGCGACAACTGTTGGGTGCAAGTGGGTTTTTACTGTCAAATACTTGGCTGATGGTACAATGGACCGCTATAAGGCTCGTCATGTTGCTAAGGGCTTTACACAGGTTCTTGGCAAGGACTTTAGCACTATATTTGCGCCGGTTACTAAATTGACCACTGTTCGTTTACTTATTTCCTTGACTGCCTCTTCTTCTTGGCACCTTCATCAACTTGATGTCAAAATTTTTTTTCTCCATGAGGACTTACTTGAGATGATCTGCATGGATCCTCCACCCGGGTTTCAGGCTGAGGGGGAGTATGCTGGCAAGGTCTGTCGTCTGCATAAGTCTCTCTATGGCTTGAAGCAATCTCCTTGTACACGGTTCCATCGTTTCAGCTCTATTATCCTATCAATGGATTTTACTCAGTGTCACTCCGACCATACATGCTTCGTTTGTCGCCAGCCCACTGGTTGATGTATTATTTTGTTGGCCTATGTGGATGATATCAGCCTTACAAGAGATGACACCATTGGTATTGCTAAGGTAAAATAGGAGCTTAGTCGAGTTTTTGACATCAAGGACTTGGGTCCTCTCAAATATTTCTTAGGGATTGAAGTAGCTCGTTCTCGCAATGGGATATCATTGTCCCAACGAAAGTATACTTTGGATCTTCTTCGGGACACCGGTATGATGGAGTGCAAGCCTGCATCTACTACTATGGATCCAGATTTGAAACTTTCGGCTGAGTTTGGTGAGTTGCTTTCTGATCCAACTCACTACCAGAGATTGGTAGGACGTTTGATCTATTTGACTAATACACGACCAGATTTGACACTTGTTGTAAGTGTAGTTAGTCAGTTTATGCATTCACCTCTTACTGCTCACCTTGATGCTGTTCATCACATCTTGAGATATCTCAAGTCATGTCCAGGTTTGGGTTTATTCTTCAATGTGGGATTCAGACAGGATTGTCCTGTTTTACTGATGCAGACTATGTAGGTTCATTGATTAATAGACGTTCCACTTTTGGGGTATGCACCTTCCTTGGTACGCATCTTCTGTCATGGAAAAGCAAAAAACAAGCAGTTGTTTCTCGATCATCTGCTGAAGCTGATTATCGCGCCATGGCTCATGGGACATGTGAGCTACTATGGCTTCGGTCCATTCTTATTGAGCTAGGCTTTGAGGAGAATAATTCCTCTAAGCTATTTTGTGACAATAAGTCTGCCATCTTACTCGCCTCTGACTCTGTGCTTCATAAGCATACTAAACATATTGAGGTTGATATTCATTTTATCAGGGAAAAGGTTCGAGCTGGCATTGTATATCCTTCATTTGTTCCAACTTTTGATTAAACTGCCGACATCTTCACCAAATCTATCGGATCATCGCTACTTCAATTTTCCATTAGCAAGCTGGGGTTGGTTGACATCTTTGATCCAGCTTGAGGGGGAGTGTTGGAATATGGAATATTGTATATTTAATTTAGGAATTTAATTTTAGGGTTTGATTGTGTAATTATTTAATTTCTTTTTCCATGTATCTTATATTGATTATATATAGATATGGTCTCACCCAAATTAGGGTAAGCCAATATTTTATAACTTTCTTCTGAGGCTATACAAACTTTTCATCAATTTGCAAACATATTTCTCTTTCCCTTTTTCCCATAAAACCCTCCGATTGCTCCATGTATATTTCTTCTTCAAAGTCACTATGAAGAAATGCGGTCTTCATATCAAGTTGCTCAACTTCAAGGTTCATACTTTCGATTATGCCATGTATAACCCGAATTGAAGATATCTTCACAAACGGCGAGAAAATTTCATCAAATTCAACACATTTCTTTTGCCAAAAGCCTTTCATAACAAGACATGCCTTGTACCTTAGATTCTTGTCATCATTCTTTAATTTGAAAACCCACTAATTTTTCAGAATTTTTCTTTCCTAAGGAAACTTCCCAAAATCATAAATGTAGTTTTTAAGTAAGGAATTCATTTCCTCTTCCATGGCCCTTTGTCAATCATCTTTTTTTACATACTCAATTGCTTCTTGGTAGTTCTTAGGCTTCCCTTGATCGAATATCAATACAAACTCATTGGAATGATACTTTTTAGAAAGTTGTCGGTCCTTTGTAAATTTTATCAACTCAAGTTGTGGTGGCAGTTCTTGAGCTGGATGCTCTTCCTCAATTTTGGGCTCAACTTCATTTAGAGTAGCATCGTCATCTACATTTTCAAGAGGTGGCTGCACATCTCTCCCATTTTCATCATCGACCGAAGGTGAAGGAGATAGATCTATGTTAATAAAATCACTAGTTTTTTGCTCCGGTTGATCACCTTTGCTAAAGTCTTTAATTGTTTGGTTTTCAAGAAACATAATGTCACAGTTTCAAATAGCTTTTTTGTCGACCGGATCCCACAATCTATAACCAAATTCATCACATCCATAGCTAAGAAAAATGCATTGTCTTGACATGTTATCAAGCTTGGACCTCTCGTCATTTGGAATGTGAACAAAGGCTGGGCAACCAAGCACTCTTAAGTGCTCATAAGACACATTTGCCAGTCCAAACTCTTTTGAGAACATTACCATTCAAAGGATAGAAAGGAGAAAAATTGATCACGTCAACCGCTGTCCTTATTGTCTCACCCCAAAAGGATTTTGACAATTTAGTATGTGAAAGCAGACACTTTGTTCTTTCCACAATGGTGTGGTTTATCCTCTCAGCAACGCTATTTTGTTGAGGAGTCTTCTTAATTGTCTTTTGGTGCCAAATACCTTGACTGCGACAATACTCATCAAATGGTCCAATATATTCACCACCAACAGCAAATCAAATTAAATTCTTTTAATAAACTAATTAGGTCCCATACTTCACTAAGATATACCCAACAATATATATATATATACCCATTTTGCTGTTGAAATAAGGGTTTTTCTGTTTGGACTTATTGCTTGTATAAGCAAGAGAGATCTTGAGAACGCAAATTATGAAGAATCTATCCATCACCACCACTCATGCGAACTTCATTCTTCTTTTCCTTCCATTTGTAGGCTGCTCAGCACATGAACATCTCAACAAAGGCACCAATCACAAGGTCAGTCATTTATTCATTTTTTTTTTTATAAAAACACATGAATATTTCCAGAAAGACTCTCTCTCTCTCTCTGGTAAATATATAATGCAATGTTTGATTTATTGAAATGAGGGTGGAAACTTAGAACGGGACGCTCATTCTGTTAGAATATCCACTTTCATATTTGATTTGGTTAAAAAAAAAAAGGAAAAAGAATTTTGAGTAGAAAATGGAATCACTATTCATCAATTTAGAAGAATGGCCATTTCATTCCTCCCTAAAATCTTTCCAGTGAATCAAACACTATCCAAAAAATTGACATAAATTCCTTTGTCAGACACTAGGAACCTCCTTAATATGTGTTGCAGTTTCTCATTGGTCAAGAATACCATATATATAATAACACATGATACCCTAAAAGTATTTAATAATTTTCAAAATTGATAAATTTTCATTGTTAGGTGGTGGTGAGCCATCAAAAGACATTTGACATCACAGTTCATGGAGTTCTATTGTGGGCTTCAATGGGATTGTTGATGCCACTTGGGATACTTACAATTAGAATGTCCAACAGAGAGCAATGCAGGAGATGGTTCAGAGGACTCTTCTATTTCCATGCCATTTTGCAGGTTTACCATTCTTTCTACTTCTTCTTCTTCTTCTTCAAAATCTCATCTTACTTTGGCTTTCAAATTCATAAACTGTTTTTTTAATTTTTTTTTAATCTTTAATAAACTTTACATATATATATATATATTGAATGCACCTAATCTTGATATATTTAAAAAGTAAAGTATTTTTAAATAAATTCTTAAAAAAAATTCACAGGAAAATGACTAATATCAAATGACTAATATATATATATATATATATATATAAATTCATTAAAACAAAAAAAATATAAAAAATAATTTTTCAAAAATGGACCAAACAAATTCTCACAAAAAAACTATATACACATGTTGGATTGTCATAGGCGTAATTACGCGTTTTTAAAGTTTATTCATAAAATAAATGACAAGATAAGTCGGTTGGAATGATATGTCAAAGAATCATATCATAGCGTTGTTTGGAGCCAATTCTGATGGGGACCAAAATAATGCTCTTTTTTGGCCTCACAACATGCTATGATTAAAGGTTTGATCTTTGTTTGCTACATAATCATATATCCCACTCTACGTTTAACTTTAATATGGTCAGAAAAATTATAGTGAAAACTTTATGAGCCACAAATATTTTTTAATTCAGCCCATAGTTTGATGGTAGTTTAGTAAAACCAATCCAACCATGTTTATCATGTACACTTTGGTGACAGGAAAAGGGTATGACTATGCAACATTTAAACAAACTATTACATATCATGGTTTTGTCATCAAATTCTATAATTATAGTTGAAGCTAATGATAAAAATGATGTTCAATATTTGGGAAAATTACATGTTAGCAAGAATATTGAATATGACATATCCATACCATGAAGATGTTTAAGTCTATGTTTAAATTTTCTTCTACTATATACATTTTATTAAAAAGAGTGATTCAATACACAAGACTTTTGTTATTTTTCTTCTAATATACATACTGAATTAAGAAAAAATAACGGTGAAATAGGTTTTGCAAAAGACAAGATGTACACAGTCTTATCTTTATTGTTGGAGAGCTTGTCTATGTGACTTGAACTTGTCTCACTATGGACGTTAACAAGTTTCACTGTTGGACCAAGCAACCCTTTTCATGTACTAAATTAATTTTTTGTTTTTGTTTTGGTTTTTGTTTTATTGAACAGACACTTTCAGTGCTTCTAGCCACAGCTGGGGCAGTACTATCCATAAGAAGTTTTGAGAATGCATTCAACAATCATCACCAAAGAATAGGGTTAGCCCTTTATGGTGCTATTTGGTTGCAAGCCTTGATTGGATTTCGCAGGCCTCGCAGGTAATTAATTTGTTTGTTTCTTCACAATTGAAAGCACATTAAGGTTAATCAAGAAAATTAAGCTAACCAACGAAGGGCGATGTTACAATGTGCAATCTCAAAAACTTTCATAACTTTTTCATAAAATTTCATAATTTAAATCCAAAATGTCATAACTTTTTCACTATAAAAGTCGTAACTTTTTTTTATTGAAAAATGTCATAACATTATTATTCATAACTTTAAGGTGCGCATCATAAATTCACTATTTATAATTTTACTACAAAACGTGATAACATATATCACAAACAATTATAGCATTCATCATAAAAAATCATAACTTTTTAAAAATATGCACCATTTGAAAGAGTGCACATTATTAATAAAAGCCTACTAGTCAAAAAATGTTGTTGCAAAGTAGAGGAATAATTATGAACTTAGTTTTGTTATTGTTTTTAGTTATCTAAATTCAGAAGTTTTTACAAAATGTATGGAAGTTTGTTTTTAATGCAGCTATTGGATTTCAACCATGTTAATTTGCATTTGTTGCGCTGATTTAAATGCAGTTTATAAAATAAAATGGAAAAAGGTAGATTATTGTGTTACTGTTTTTGTTTTTATTTTTCGGAAAATGAAATAAATTTGCTTAGCAAACTATTTCCAAAAGCTATTTATTGGAACCTTTTAAAAATAAAAATAAAAATAAAAATACTTTTTAGGAAACACCAAAATGTTGTTTTCAAATTTTGAAACCTGCTTTCACACAAAATTAAAACAATGGTTGTTTTCAAATTTATATTGTTATTGTTTTTTTCTTTTCATTTTCTAAAAAACAATGTTTGACGTACTATTTTTAAAAATGATTTTCGAGAACATTTTCTAAAAATAACCCACTTCCTAGTCAATACCCAAAAGTTATTTTCAAATTTTTGAAAATTGCTTTTGCAAAAATAAAAATAAAAATAAAAAATCAACCTGAAAACAATGGGTGTTCTCAAATTCTTCATTAATTTTTTTTTTTTGAAAACTTGAAAAACAAAAAAAATAAAGATAAAGAAACCACAATTAAAGAATCAATTGCATTCGATTAAATTTCACAGTTTTCACTTCATTTTTCACACTTCGTATGCAGGGGAAGTAAAGGTAGAAGTGTATGGTACTTTGTGCATTGGGCACTCGGCACATCAATATCTCTATTGGGAATTTTCAACATCTACACAGGGTTACAAGTCTACCATAAGAGAACATCAAGAAGTATTAGGGTTTGGACCATCCTTTTCACAACACAAATCTTTTTCATGGTTTTCTTCTACCTCTTCCAAGACAAATGGGAGTATATGCAAAGGCAACGAGTTATTTTAGGCAATGAGCCAATTATAACACCCTCTAATGACCAATCTAATGACCAAATCATTCCACAGAGGGACAACCAAAATGACTTGTCGAATGAACCAATTAGGAAAACCAATTCCCTTGGGAATTATTTCGCCAAAAGCAACGCGCTCAAGAAATTATTTCAGCTAACATGAGATACTATTCGTCTTTCTCAGCTTGCCTTTTTTATTTTTTACTTATACATAGTACTATTTGCGCTCCACTCTTTTGTGCTTGCATTTTGCATCAATGAAGGTGTTTTTTAAAATGCATTGAGGAATGCAAGCATTAAAAAGTGGAGAGAGAAGAATGCAATCTTCTGTTTATTAATATATATATTTTCCTGTGAATTAAGATTGGTTTTTTAGTTGTGGGATTTGGTAATGGAGTGCTAGATTAGAAGATATATGAGTTTTTAAGTAGAACAACTACAGAGATGGTGTAGTGCTTTGTACAAAAAAATTCATAAATATGTAAAGCATGTTTTGATGTTTTGAATAAAAGATTCATGATGAGAGTTTATCTAATATTCTACATATAGTTAATGGTGTGTTATTGTTGGAAAGACAAATTTTCAAACATCTTTTAGGGGTAAGTTTGAGGAAAGGTAGACAAGCCAATTCCAAAATCTTAATTATATTTTATGTGAAATAATGACATATCCTACCAATGTTGAGTTGGGCCAAACATAATATGATAGTAATTATCGAACATATATCAAGATTTAAATTCCATCAACTATATATAAAATAAAATAAAGTAACGTAACGTAAACAAAATATACTCATAATTTACAAGTGGATTACCATTGTTATACTAAAGTGAATCTTCATTGATTTGGAATGAACATAATTGCATTGAAATTTAATATCAAGACCTAACTCGTTGTAATTCTGTTTTTCCCCTCTCTACAAAATTGTGGACATCAAACATAATGCAAAATACTTCATTTCTCATTCTAGAATATTTTTTTTATTCATTTTTCATAGAACTTTGACTGTTGGTAAGAATAATATTAGTTTAGGTTTAGTTTAGGTTTATTCTGTGAATATTGTTTCCTATTTAGAATTAGGTATAGAATTGCTATATATATTAGATGTATACATTGTATTGAAATACAATTGAATATACATAAAAACCTTCATAAATCTTACATGGTATCAGAGCCGTGTTTGAAACCCTAGCAGTAATCACGCAACCCTTTGGTTCTGATCTGAGTTTCGTTGGTGGTTCACTCGAGATTGCTCTCTAGCTCATTGGAGTTTGACCCATTTGTTCTTGTGACCCATCTTGGTTTTGCAAGACTTCGACCCATCTTTAGTTCAGTCTGTTAAAACCCCTGGTTCTCTCTCTAGTTTGAAGCTCTTTGAACAAATTTTGCGACCTAGCTGGTTTGAAATCACTACCCCTCAATTTTGCGATTGCCTCTGGTTTGCAAATCTTTGACTCGCGACTTTTTCTCACTGCTCTCTGACTCGCGATTGTCCCTGGTGTATGGTTCTCTGGTTGCTTCATCGTATCTGTTGGTTTCATCGAAGTGAAGTTACCTCTCAGCTTCTCTCTCTCGTAAGGGCTCTATCTGAGGCTAGTTCGAAACCCTTATCTTTTGGTTGGTCACTTATTGGTATTTGACCCATTGGATTTTGGATTTGAAATCCTTTGGTCTTGGATTATTGTCATATTATTCTCTGATATTACATTTTGATCCCTCAGATTTTTTGGTTTTTACACTTAAACCTCTCAATTTTCTGGTTATTGTGATGTTTTTGGCTTTTAATGAGTGTGCCTTCTGCCATCAAAAGGGTCATTGGAAGTATCATTGTCTCAATAAGGGATGTTTGTCTGCTTCACCTGTTATTGCCTCATTTTCTCAGCAATTTCGGATCAAGTTTTGCGTTCCTACTCTAAGTACCATTCAACCTCTCGCCAGTTATACAATATTTGTTCCGGCTCCTAATCCTGACTTGGCTTCCTTGATTGCTCAGATTAGTCAACTTCAGCATATATTGTCTACCTTCTAACCATCTCTGTTTGTCTCTATTGTTTCTTCTCTTCATTCAGGTTTGCTTGTATCTTCTTCAGGTATTTCTTCATCTGTCTAGATTTTTTACTCTAGTATCTCTCATCATATGACTCCCCATCTCTCTTTACTTCAAAATTGTATTTCTCCTCCATTTTCTATTACTGTCGACACTGTTAATGGGTCTGGTATGTCTGTTATATCTGTTGGATCTGTCCTACCATCTGCTATGTTTGTAGTCTCTATTTCATCTTTCTTATATGTTCTTCAATTATCTGTCAGTTTATTATCTATTAGTCAACTTGATGCCTCCGGTTTTCATGTTATCTTTTCTTCTTCTATCTGTTTTATGTAGAATCGAATGTCCAAGTAGTAGATTGGAACTGGCCATAGAGTTTGAGACCTCTCTATGGTGGAAAGCTTGCATTTATCTATGACTCCCTCTCTGACTGTCTTTTCTTCTTTTCAGTTAGATTCTCTGTCAAGTCCTTTCTACTTATGGCATTTAAGATTAGGAAATTTGTTTGCTGATCGCTTATGGTCTTTAGTTCAGTCAGGTATATTGAGTAAAGTTTATCCTAGTCAACTTATCGAGTGTCGGGGGGTGTAAACTTGCCAAAATAACAGCCTTACCCTTCCGTAAAAGTCCTTTTATATCTACTACACCGTTTTCTTTAGTTTATACTGATGTGTGGGGCCCTTCTCTTATTCTTACTAAAGGGAGTTTTGCATGCTATGCGTCATTTGTTGATGACTGCACCTATTACACTTGAGGTTTATCTTATAACTCATAAGTCTGATTTCAATCAGATATATCGTACCTTTCAGTCTATGATTACTACTTAGTTTGGGTCTACAATTAAAGTTTTACGGTCTGACTTGGATAGGGAATATTTTAAAAATGAGTTCTGTGAGTATTTGGCTAATTTGCGTACCATTCACCAAACTTCCTGTATAGATACACCTGCCCAAAATGGTCAAGCCGAACGTAAACACCGTCATCTCCTTGAGACAACTAGGTCTCTTATTCTCTCTACCTCAGTTCCAGTTCTATTCTCAGGGGAGGCAGTTCTTACTACTACTTTCTTCTCAACCGCATGCCTATTCTCCTTCTTTCTGATCGGTTTTCTTATGAGGCTTTGCTCTCCCAAATTCCTAACTACTCCCTCTTTTGTATGTTTGGGTCTGCTTGTTTTGTCCTTCTTCCCCGCAAAGATAGGACCAAACTTAGTGTCCGGTCTGTCCTCTGTGTATTTTTGGGATATAGTTCTACTCAGAAAGGCTATCAGTGTTACGACCCTATTTCCTGTCGTCTTTATGTCTCCCGTCATGTTTCTTTTCTCGAACGTCTACCTTACTTTCAGCTTCCTCCTCTCACTGTCCCAGTTTCCAAAGAGGATTTGGTTCATATTGATCTGTTTCCTTCTGAGGTCCCGTCTATTGAGTACATCTCCACAGTTCTTCCTAAGCTTGTTATATCTTCTCCTCTTGCTTCACCTCTGGCTGCTACTTATTCTTCGATTTATTATCCTCCTCCATTGTTAGTTTATTCTCGTCGTAAGGCTCGTCTTCCACCGGCTGTCTTTACCCTTGCTGTTGATCCTCCTACTTCTGACGACTTTGATCCTATTGCACACCGATATCCTACTCGAGCGCATTATCCTTCAAATAGGTTAAGTTGGTCTAATACATATTTTTCTACTTTCTATCATACTTTTTTTTCTACTATTCATTCTTTTTCAGAACCTCAGTCTTACAAGGAGGCCTGTCAGGATCCTCATTGGATTCAAGCTATGGAAAATGAGTTGTCTAGTTTACAGAAAAATAGTACTCGGGAGTTAGTTCATTTGTTTGCTAGTAAGAATCTGGTTATTTACAACTGGGTCTACAAAATCAAGACTCATTCTGATGGTTCTCTTAACCGCTACAAAGCTCGTTTGGTTACCAAAAGTTTCTCACAAGAGTATAGTATTGATTATGATGAGACCTTTGCTCCTGTTGCCAAGATGACTACTATCCGTACTTTAATCTCTATCACTGCTGTTTGTTCTTGGCCTCTTTATCAAATGGATGTTAAAAATATTTTTCTTAATAGCCATCTCACTGAGGAGGTTTACATGCGTCCTCCCCCTAACCTTTACCATTTTTCTAGACAAGTTTGTCGTTATCGGCGTGCTCTATATGGTCTGAAGCAGTCTCCTCATGCTTGGTACGATCACTTTCAGACTGCTATTACTGAGCTTGGGTTTCGTCATTGTGCCCAGCACTCTACTTTATTTCTTCTCCACACATTTGCTGGATTTGTTACGTTATTATTATATGTGGATGGTATGATCATCACTGGTTCTGACTCTTCTGTTATATCTGAGGTCAAGCAGTATCTTTTCCGTACCTTTGAAATGTAGAATCTAGGCCCACTGCGGTATTTTCTTGGTATTAAAGTAGCTTCTTCTCCCAAGGGCTACTTTCTCTCTCAAGCCACACATGCCAATGAGGTTATTCATCGTGCCGGTCTTACTGATATTCAGATTTCTGATAACCCCATTGAACTTAATATAAAGCTCAACACTACTGATAGTGTTTTTCTTGATGATCCTACTCTATATCGAGAGCTCGTGGGTTGCTTCGTATATTTGATGGTTACTTGTACTGATCTTGCCTATGTTATTCATGTGGTTAGCCAGTTTGTCTCTATTCCTCGCTCCACACATTGGGCTGCATTGGTTCGGATTCTTCGCTATCTTCGAGGTACCATCTTTCAGGGTTTACTATTGTCCTCTACTTCCTCTCTAGATTTGGTGACCTATGTTGATTCTAATTGGGCTGGTGATATTATTAATTGCAAGTCCACATCTAGTTTCTGTATATTTCTTGGTGATTTCTTGATCTCTTGGAAAAGCAGGTGATTTCTTTTTTACTTGGAAAAGCAAGAAACAAACTGTTGTTACTCGTTCTATTGTCGAAATTGAGTATTGTGCTATGGCTCATGCTACTGATGAAGTTGTCTAGTTTCGTTGTCTTCTCTCTGACTTGGGCATCCCTCAATCTTCTCTGATCTCTCTCTATTGTGACAACCGCAGTGCTATTCAGATTGTACATAACACTGTCTTCCATGAGCGGACCAAGCACATTGAGATTGATTATCACTTTGTTCGTCAGCATCTGCAGTCTGGTTCTATCTCGCCTCCTTTCATCTCTTCGGCTCTGTAGCTTGCTGACTTCTTTACCAAGACTCACACTACTGCTCGATTTTAGTTTCTTTTTAGCAAACTCTTAGCGTTTTCTGCCCAAACACATTGAGTTTGAGCAGGGGTGTAAGAATAATATTAGTTTAGGTTTATTCCGTAAATATTGTTTCCTATTTAGGATTAGGTCTATTATTTCCTATTTAGGATTAGGTCTAGAATTGTTATATATATATCAAATGTACACATTATATTAAAATACAATTTAATATACATAAAAACTTTGAGAAATCTTACCGGCATCAACGAAAGTTCCACTAGT